CCTTGGGACCACTCAGTTTCTCCCAGACTGACATGGCATGTCTTACTGCCCTCACCCCTCACCCCTCACCTCTCCTGGGATAATCATGAAGGTGGCGGAGGGGAGCAGTTTCTAGAAGAGGGATGCTGGGCAGACAGTCTCTTAAATTTCCTATTTGGAAAAAATTGTGTTCTCTAGTGAAATCTTTTTTTAAACTCATTTTTACCAGATGTACTTTTGCCCAAATGGCCTATTAATTGTTTTTAATGTGTTATGACTGTAAGTAGGCCTCTGCTTTTTTTATTTTGGAGGAGAGTTGGGAGCATTTTAGAGAAGCTTTAGTGATTTATGGCAAAAAATAAAAAAAGCGTATGGAGTATACGCCTGTTGTTTGACAGTGGTAGAAGTGTGTTTGGACAGCATTGAGCCTGAAGATAGGGAATTTTGCCATAGATACTTCTTCACACAAAATGGAAGATTCAGTGTTCAGGCCAAAGCTCTAACCACTGAGCACACCAGCCAGGGCTGGGATACATTTTAGATGAACATGTCATATCTTTTGAGAGCCATCACCTAGTCACCTCCCCACCGCACCTCATGCTTCAGGACTCTGGTGCCTGGTCCCTCTGATGCTTCCTGCCTTTGTTGCTTTGCCTGTGCTCTCTCTCTCTGATGCGTGGGAAGCTCCCCTCTCTCATACCCACCCACTGAGTGAACTCTTGTTTAATGTTCAAGCCTTTCCTGACTCTTTCCCAGAGTTCCTTATGCTTCACTATGCCTTGTGCGGTCTTAACATTTATCATTGCGAGAAGTTGTATTAAAATGTCTTTCCTTAGGACAGTGGTCGTCAAACTGCGGCTCGCGAGCCACATGCGGCTCTTTGACCCCTTGAGTGTGGCTCTTCCACAAAATACCACGTGTGGGCGCGCACGTACAGTGCGATTGAAACTTCGTGGCCTATGCACAGAAGTCGGTTTTCGGCCTGGGCGAGTCTATTTTGAAGAAGTGGGGGGTGGACATATAGAGGATGAACGAAAGGAGGTAGACGAAACAAGTACACAAGACGAGTGTGGATGGGAGAGTTGGAAGGGGTTGTCCTCAGCGAACGTACCTCAATCAGATTGAGGATGTTTTTAGCGAAGGCCAGCTTAGGAGTACCCTAATTAAGTTCATAACAATGTACCTACCTATATAGTTTAAGTTTAAAAAATTTGGCTCTCAGAAGAAATTTCAGTCGTTGTACTGTTGATATTTGGCTCTGTTGACTAACGAGTTTGCTGACCACTGCCTTAGGAGATTGGGTTTTCCAAGGGCACAGACCCACAGTGTCGTACAAGTAGCACTTAAGTATTTTGGGGACAAAAACGAATCAAGTTACGGAGCTTCTGTGTTGATGAGTAGAACATGTTAAAGGGTGTCTGTTGGTGTGTTTTCTCGAGTCCCCTGCAGAAGGCTTCTCTGACTATCGGAGCCGTGCCAGGACTTGGTCTTATGGGCCCAGGTCTGTGCGTGGCTTTCAAGAACTATTGGCTAAGAATCCAAATAGTTCATTGGAGAGATCAGGAGGTTTGCAAGCCCCTCAGAGAAAGTTCTGAATTTTTTTTAGCAAAGGCAGTGGGGGGGTTAGAATTGCTTTGCAAAAAGTGGTGCATATGCTGAAGTTAGGGATGAAGTGTACTGAGTCTGTAACTTACATGAAATGTGTCAGAATTTAAGGTTGACGGTTAAATAGAGGGATACCAGATGGCTGGGTGTGTGGTAAAGGAAATGGAGCGAAATGTGAATTGTAGCACCCAGGTGGTGGGAAAATGGATTCACTGTGCAGTTCCTTCAACTTTTCTTAAAGTTTGAAACTTTTCATGATAAAATGTTGGGGGAAAGGATACTTGTATTATTTTTAAGAGCACATATATTGGCTAGGCATATCTGTAATAAACAAATCATCAACATGAACTTCCTAAGCCTTAATTATTTTCCTCCCTGGGATTTCTTTGCCTCTCTTTAGTCAAATCTCAGTTCTTATGTTGCTCCCTTAAAATTTCCCTGACCTTCAATGTAATGTAGACGTTTCTCCTGTGTTCCCAGAGCACACCTCGCATACTTCAGCCGTGGGATTTAGTATCCTATGTTCATTTACTAATCTGCCTGAACCACTTGACTTTGAGTTTCTTGAATACAAAGACTGTTTCTGGAATGCTTTTGGTACAAGTAAAAATGAAAACAATAACAATAAGTAGGCTAACAGTAGTTTAAACAAATGAGTTTATTGTCTCCAATAACAGAGGAGTGTGGGGGCAGCACGTCCAGCCCAGGACTGGTTCAGGGCTGGCGCTCTGCCTCTCTCCTGCTTCCCTCACCACGCCAGGTGGACTGAAGCAGTGTGTGGATTGGAAATAGGCACCATGGTCATTCAGTTTCTGAGCTTTCAGCCGACATCTGTGAGTTTGTTGAATAGTCTTCAGTTCGTTTATTATGGTTTCTTCTAGAAAAATTGATTTTTTGTTGAAAATAACAGCTCAGAATTTTATAAACAGCTCACATGTTTATAAAAGCCCCCCACCTGGGAAATCATTTCTTCATTTTCATACAGCTATAGGAGTTCATAGCAGCAAGGTTGCTTCAGAGAAATAGAGTGACAGCTTATGGTCTGGAGGCTCCAGCCTCCTCCCCCAGCCTCAGCTCTGTGGGCCAGAGCAGTTTCACCTCCTAAACCAAGGCCTTTTGGGGAGGCCTGCTCCTTATCCCACTTGTTCTATTTTAGTCACAGCTCAAATGTGCTTAATTACCTAGTTAATTGCTTAAGACACTTATTAAAAAGTGCATAATTAGAAAAGGGGAGTGGAAAGAAGGGAGTAGAGGCAGATAAATGGGGGGTCCAATTGAAGGGGGAGGGCCCCAGGCCTGACCCACTCAGACAGGCTCAGATCACAGTACTGATTTCTGCGGTGATGGCAATCCTTAAATCATCAAGAAAAGGTTTAAGTTCAGTTTAATAAGATGGATAGATAAATATGTGAAAAACGTTAAAAACTACGTAGATATGACCTCAAATAGGTTTAAAATATCTTCTATACTAATAAAAGGGTAATATGCTAATTATGCCGGACATCTTCCGGACGACCTTCCTGAAGCCCTTCCTGGGCTGGGCACGTGGCATTTTTAAATGGAATGTAGTGCTGGCTGCGCGGGAGAGTGGCGGGAGCTTGCACGCCGAGACTTTCCGAGGGTGCCGTTTGCTGGCCATCAGGCTGTCCCCACTGTGGGCTTCCAGCTCAGTCCGAAGCTCGGGCCGGAAGCTGGATAGTGAGCGTCATGCTCTGTCGTAGATTACGAGTTCCCGCCAGGGAACATTGGCTTCTCTCAGCCCGGGCTCTGCTCCCTCATTCACATCCGGGAACAAAGCCGCCTGCTTCTGTTCGTCCTGGAGGCCAGGCCAGGCCAGACTGCGCGGCCACGGGTTCCGGAGCGGATGTCACACGCCCACATACTCACTAGCACTCAGCGCCCTGGCCGCAGAGGACTCTCATCACCCTGCGGGGTTTGTGCCCTCGCTCTGGCTCTGAATGTCCCCAGCACATATGTGCCCGGCCGTCTCTCGGGCTTACAGTTCTGTCCATGTACCAATGCGCTTCTGTTACCTTCAGAAGCGGACTGGAAAGGCGGCCTCTGGCTGCTTTCTGGGGCTGCTCCCCTGCGTGAGGCTCCGCTCCTCTCACTGTGGGCCTGTCGCTGAAAAGCCCCGAGTTTGCATTTGGTTTGTAGCCTGGTGGTGCGGACCCTGATGCAAAACAACTGTCAGCTTCAAGTGCCCGTGCGGTGGGGTGGGGTGGGGGAGCTATATCACCTGGAACCTGTTCAGCTCTGAGGATAGCAGGGTGGCCTGGGCTTTGCACCATGATACCGCAGAAAATCAAAGACCTCTCGGTGGCTTCGTGTCCAATACTTTAACACACTGTGAAATAATTCCGCTCTTTTTCTTCTCTAAACCTAAACAGTCTTTTGTCATTAAAGTGAAGACGTAGGAAGAATGTGTTTATACTAGCTGGGCTCTTGGCCATTAGATTTTCACTAAAAACATGTTGTGTCTGTTTTTAGAATGCATATTCCAAGGGCGTTCCAAAAAAAATGAAAGAGTTCAAGGTTCAGTTCAAGGTTGACCCTCTTGGTTAGGAATGGGGGTGAGGGGCATAATACAGGCGTTTCTCTCCAAGAGCTTACAGTCTTAGTTGGATGGAATAAGACATACAGTATTAAAAAATTTGTTATTTCAAGAGTTAAAAACAGTGCAAGACAAATTCAAGAGATCATACAGTATTAGGCAAGTTTCAGATGAATGGAGGTTCAAAACTTCAAATGGCAGTGGCTGTAAATGTTCAACTTTGTAAATGTGCATCTTACCCAAAGAACTCACCATTGTAATTTGGCCCTATGGCAAACCTTTGACAACTCAGAGGTTGAATCTTAGTAATTGTTCTCTTTTATCCTAAAATTGCTTTGATTTTAAAGGCCTCCTTGGTCCTTTTCCAAACCCCTAAACCTTTACTCCCCTTCCCCCAAGTTTTTAGTGTATGAAAGCTGAGTAAGTTAAGGTTGTTGGTCGAGAAGTAATGCCATCATGATCCTTGAAGTAAATAATTTAGTTCTCCTCCGTGAAGGCTACTTACAGAAAAATACATGTACTTACCCCCTTCAGTGACCTCCGCGTGCTGAGTCTCGAGGGCTGTGTGGGTGTGTGATGGGGGTGGAGTGAGGATACAGAGAGAGCGAGTCCCCAGTGCCAGTGTTCTCTGTGGCTCAAGATGACTTGGGGCAGGTAGGGCACCGGGCTCTGAACATTCCCCCTGGTGGGGCAGTGCTGAGGGTGTGTTGACCTTCATGGCAGGCGGTCTCCCTGCCGTCCTCCTGACAGGCCCAACCCCGTTCTCTCTTGACTTGGCTGCCCTGGCTGCGCTGTGGTGAATGACTGCCAAGGGCTGGGTAGAAACCAAACCGCCTCTCATGTCTGTCTTCTGCATTGGCAGCTCTTCACCTGGGTCTTCGGTCCCCTGTCGCAACCTCAGCAAACCAGCAGGATGGCTGCAAACAAGAGCAAGAGCCAGAGCTCCTTGGCCCTGCACAAGGTGATCATGGTTGGCAGTGGAGGGGTTGGCAAGTCGGCCCTGACGCTTCAGTTCATGTACGATGAGGTAAGCCCGCCTTCTGTCTGCGGTTAGGGTCCCCTCCCCAGCCTGTGCGTGTGCCGTCCACCCACGTGCAGGGAGGGTCGTGGGCCAGATCGTGGTGAGGTGCTTCCCAATAGCTTCACAAGGGGTCTAACCAGCAAACGCTCTGGATTGCTGATTTTTGTTATATTTTGTAGGGATGTGAGGCCCCTGCTCGCATTATTTCCCTTGTTACACTTTGAGCTGTCTTTCTGACAGGAGCAAGGGAGGGGGAGGGACCTTTGTTCAGGGATTTCTGAAGAATGGGTCTGATACTTAGCTTCGTGACAGTTGATTTTGGGAGCTGTTGAAAGGGAAAGCTAAGCTGTCAGAAGACTTAATTTTTTCTCAAATGATAGACAGCAGGTACAGCTTGCACCATCCTGGCCCAGGTTTCCATCCCTAGAGGTGGGTAATGGAACTAATGCTGAGTCGAGCATGACAACACAGTCTTGGTTCCTGTGGCCACAAATGCCCCTGCTTGGTGGCCGTTACTGATTTCACAGGCAGTGTTTGGATTAGAGCTCAACCCAGGGACCTCTCATGTGATCACATTTCACACGGGCACACACTGTACAGAATGTGTGAAAGGAAGCTGTGGGAACCACCGTTCATTAAGATCATCACCCCTTTTCACTAGACTTTCCATCTGTCCAGCCTCCCCTGCTGTTGGGTGGTGTGGGAGTGGCCATGGCCATTCTTGGGACCTAGCTGAGGGAAGAGGAATTGAGGACAGTTTAGTTGGGGATTGGTGGTATATGCTTATGTGGTTTGGAGTCACTTTGGCCTGTGGTTCTCACCAGCCATCCCAGTGTAGGAATGGCTTCCAGGAATATTCCCCGCCCACGGTGCTGACTCACCTGGCACTGGGACTGGAGTGCAGCCCAGGGTTGTATCTTGGTGTGGGCGTGTCCTACGACACCTGGCACTGAGTGAGTGGGTGTTTCCACAAGGGTGGAAACATGGAGCTAGAAACTAGTCTGGAAAGTTCTTCCCTATCTTACAGGAAAGCTCAGTAGAGGGATCCTAAATTTGATAATAGTCCTAGAAGTTTCATTACTGGTAATGTCGAGTAGTTGTGAAGCTGAAAAAAACCTTTCTAAACTATTAATAAAAAAAGAACTTTTGGATCAACTAGGCTATAGGAAAGACTAAATTATATTTTTATTCTTTATAGGAAACATTTCAAAATCATTGACATATGATAAGATACTCAAAGAATACACAGCAACCACAAAAAAATGTAGGAACATATTCCAGTGGTATACCAGGCAGTAAATAGTGTTATTTTGCTGCACTGTGATTGTATTAGATTCTATTGCTGTAACAAATTTCTACAAATTCAGCAGCTTCAAACGACGCATTTGCTACCTCTAGTTCCCAGGGGTCAGGAATATGTCACAGCTTAGCTAGGTGTCCTTCCCAGGCTCTCACAAAGGCTGCCTTGGTGTCAGCTCTGGCTGTGAGCTCAACTGAGACTCGGCTCCTCTCCCAGCCTTCCTGGGTGCTGGAAGATGGAGGATAGGGGTGCACAGCTCCTAGAGGTCCCTGCCACCAGGCCCTTTCCTCAGTGTTCACACCATAGTCCCTACCACCAGGCCCTCCCCACAGGTGTTCACACCATGGTCCCTGCCACCAGGTCACCAGGCCCTCTCCACAGGTGTTCACACCATGGTCCCTGCCACCAGGTCACCAGGCCCTCTCCACAGGTGTTCACACCATGGTCCCTGCCACCAGGCCCTCTCCTCAGTATTCACACCATGGTCCCTGCCACCAGGTCACCAGGCCCTCCCCACAGGTGTTCACACCATGGTCCCTGCCACCAGGTCACCAGACCCTCTCCACAGGTGTTCACACCATGGTCCCTGCCACCAGGCCCTCTTCTCAGTATTCACACCATGGTCCCTGCCATCAGGCCCTCTTCACAGGTGTTCACACCATGGCTGCTGTTTCTTCAAGGCCAGGAGGAAAGTATGTCTGCTTAGCTACTACTGATTCTTACATAAGTACATGTAATCATTGGTAATCTCATTCATGCCCATTGCCATATTCTGTTGGTTAGAAGCCAGTCATTCAAAATTTTTTATAATGGATTTTTTGAAAAAGATTTAAAAAATGTATTTTTTTCAAAATTGATTTCAGAGAGGAAGAGAGAGGGAGAGAGATAAAAACATCAATGACAAAATCATTGATGGGCTGCCTCCTGCATGCCCCACACTGGGGATCAAGCTCGCAACCTGGGCATGTGTCCTGACCAGGAATTGAACCGTGACCTCCTGGTTCATAATTTGACGCTTAACCACTGAGCCACGCAAGCTGGACTGAAAAAGATTTTTTATTGATTTTTAGAGAGAGAGGAAAGGAGAGGAGAGAAAAGAGAAACATCGATTCGAGAGCGATACATCCATCGGCTGCCTTTTGCATACCCCCTACCGGGGATCTCTCCTGGGTCATACTTGGCTGTATCTTATGTGAGAAAGTTTTGTTTCTGATGCCCACTTTTCTCTATCTCATATCTGGCAGAATCTCCTTAATTTACCCACACATTTTTGCATAAAAGAAGAGATGTAGATTTTGAAGTCTGAGTCTGTTTTTGCTTATTAACCTGGTATTCTTAGGAAAAATTCCTTACTTTTCTTTTGTAACAGGGGAAGAACAGAGGGTCAGGAGAGGAATTAAGATGAAGGAGACAGGATTAGAGGTGTAGTTTGTTAATGAGATGAGGGAAGGGGATTTTGCCCCCTAAAGATTTAATAATGGCTTGGCCGGTGTGGCTCAGTGGTTGAGCATTTACCTGAACCAGGAGATCATGGTTTGATTCCCAGTCAGGGCACATGCTTGGGTTGGGGGCTTCACCCCCAGTAGGGGACATGCAGGAGGCAGGCTGTCACTGATTCTCATCATTGATGTTTCTATCTTTCCCTCTCCCTTCCTCTCTCAAATTGATAAAAAAAATATGTTCTTAAAAAAGAATGACTAATTGGCCCTAGCCAGCTTGGCTCAGTGGATAGAGCATCAGCTCTTGGACTGAAGGGTCCCAAGTTCAATTCCGGTCAAGGGATATACCTCAGTTGCAGGCTCGATCCCTGGCCCTGGTCAGGATGTTTCTCTCGCTCTGTCTCTCCCCTTCTCTTCCACTCTTTTTTAAAAAAAGGGAAAAATGTCCTTGGGTGAGGATTAACAACAACAAAAAAGAGTGAATAACTGGCAATGTCCCATGTTTTTGGTTGTCACGTGTGGGGGCAGGTACTACTAGCACGCATGCTCTTAACCTCCTCCAGTGCACAGGAGAGAACTATCTGCCCAGATGTCCGTGGTGCCGCTGTGGAGAAGCCCGGGTCAGAGGCAGAGCTCTGGGGACGGGAGCCCTCTCTCTGCTCTGCACACCCTGGGAGACCAGGAGTCTGGTCTGGATTGTTCATTCCTATGATGTATGTTTGCATGTGTGAAGGGCAAGAGAGAGGGAAATGATGCATGCTAAAAGTCCAGTGTTCTCTTTAGCTTCTTCAGAGAAGCAAAGGAAAGCTATGCTTCATCTTGGGCTATTTTTCTCACAGACTAACATATTTGAGGACTGAGAGGCAGCAGTTATTGAAGAGTTGGTAAAACGAAAGCAGAGCAAGGGAAGACTAGAGTGCAGTGGTGTGTGCTTGGGGAAATCTTTACCGGATTGCTCCATCAGCGTTGTCCAGCAGAGCCTTCTCAGTGACGGAGTGCTCTGTGTCTCTGTGTCCAGTACCAGGGCTCCTGGGCACTGCAGACCTGCCTGGGGGCTGCTGCATTGGACGGTGTAGTTCCAGAATCACAATTTTGGATCTTGAAGAGACCTTAGCGGTGATTCCCAGATCAGCTGATCATAGAATCTCATGGAGGATCTTTTAAAAAATTTCTGAATAGTATTTCTGGAGTTGGGAGCCAGGAATCTTTCTTTTTACAACGCCTCCCCCCGCCCCCCTGCAGTTCTGACATGTGGCCCGGCGTGCAGCTCCTGCCTGAAAGATCAACAAGTTAACCTGATGTCATAGGAAAGGAAATTGCGTCTGTACTTGGAGGCCAGTGGTCTGAAGTGTCATGGGCCGTTCACACTGTTTCTGGTCCAATGTTTTCCCCTTGGTTCAGAAGAAATTCCCGCGTATATGGTGGAATTGCCATGGAAATTGGATTATGGAAGGAGCCACAGTCCCACAGTTCTTTACTTTTGAATTTGAGAAAATCAGAGGGAGATTTTAATCATTTTACCCTTGGCCTAAAATATCGGAAGACTTTTGAAGCTATTTGGGTTTCCAGTGAGGTGAGGTTGATGGTGGGAGACTTCAGACTTGGAGTGGCTAGAAAAGCCGGCCCAGCACAGGGGTGTGCATGAAGTTTGTCTTGGACTTGCGCGTCTTGGGCGTCTGGGACTGAATCGCACACATCCCTGCAAGGCCAGCAGTATGATTCATCTTAACAGATACATGACTTCAGAGATTTCCTATTTCTGTGGAAAAATTTAAGCGTCAAGGTTATGATCTAATGTTCTCATAATAAGCACCTTTCCCCTAGCACAGAGGTACGCATTCACATCGGGACATTCTGACTCCTGGTGTCAGAGGAGTCCGTGCAGCTCTTGCAGGTGTGAACCTTGAAAGCTCAGAAATATGCCCTTGAGATGCTCTGAGGCGTCGGAGATCGCGCTGCGGGGGTGGCGCTGCCGGGTATTTGTCTCTGTGGAGGGAGTTAAAGGAAGGACACTTGAGAGGCATAGGCAAAGCTGCATGCTCTCTATTTTAAGATAATTATTAGGGTGAATAGAAGATACCTAAAACTAAACATCTTTTAGTATTTTTATTTTTAGGTTTAAAAGCATTTGAGCTGGTAGCTTCTAATTGGCAATGCAAGGCTCTTTTCAAGTTTTCTTCGGAGGTCCCTAAGTTCGCGTTGATATTTTCAATTCAACTTTTAAATCTTTAACAATTTAAGTTAGAGTTTTACTAAGATACTAGAGGCCCAGTGCACAAAATTCATGCACGGGAAGTCCCCTCAGCCCAGCCTGCACCCTCTCCAATCCGGAACCCCTCGGGGATGTCAGACTGCTGGTCTAGTCTGGCAGTTGGACTTCCCTCTCACAATCCTGGACCGCTGGCTACTAATCGCTCACCTGCCTGCCTGCCTGGTCACCCCTAATTGCCCCTGCCCCCAGCCTGATCACCCCTCACTGCCTCTGCGTGCTGTCCTGGTTGCCCCTAACTGCCACCCTGTTCACCCCCAACTGCCCCCTCCCTGCCAGCCTGGTCACTCCTAACTGCCCCCAACTGCTGGCCTGGTTACCCTTAACTGCAGCCCGCCAGCCTGGTTGCCCCCAACTATCCCCCTCTGCTGGCCTGGTCACCCCAAATTGCCCTGCCCCACTGGCTTGGTCGCCCCCAAGTGCCCCCCCCCTGCGGGCCTGGTCGCCCCAGGCAGCCTGCTGTTCGGTTGTTTGGTCTACCCTCACTAATCCCCCTGCCAGCCTGGTCGCCCCACGCAGTCTGCTTGTTCAGTCGTTTGGTTGTCCCTCGGGCCAGCCCTGGGTGGCTGGGCAGCTGACATCCAAGGCTTGCCTGCACCTCGGACTGGCCCTGGTGGCTGGGGGACTGAGGGGACTGGGCACTGCCCAGTGGCTGTGGATGCTGTCAGCTTTGTGGGTGGGGCAGTCAATTAGCATATTCCCTCCTTATTGGCTGTGGACGCCTCCATCTTTGCGATGGTGTGAGGGTCAATTAGCATATTCCCTTTTTATTAGATAGATAATTCAAGTACCATGGAACTCCCAATTCAGTGATTTTTAGTGTATTCACACAGGTGTGTGAGCATAACCACTGTATACATTTCATCACTAGTTCTGCCCCAACCCCTGCATACAGCAGCCATTCCTCATTACTTTTCCCCTGCCACCTCGCCCCTGACAGCTGCTCTCTGGTTTTATGGATTTGCCTATTCTGGATGTTTTATAGGAATGGAATCATACAGTATGTGACCTTTATATCTGGCTTCTTTCATGTAGCACAATGTTTTGAAAGTTCATCCATGTTGTAGTAGTATTTCTTTTTTTAAAAAAAATGAGGTAATTCATATACCATAAAATTTACCCTTTTAAAAGTGTAACATTCCATATTTTTTTTAGTATATTCACAAATTTGTACAACCATCACTACTATCTAATTCCAGAATATCACCCCCCCCAAAAACTGCATACCCATTATCAGTCACTCTCCATTTCCCTTCCCAAGGTCCCAGCCACCACTAATCTGCTTTCTGTTTCCACAGATTTGTCTATTCTGGACATTTCATGTAAATACACTCATATAATATGTGATTGTTTGTATTTGGCTTTTACTTACCATAGTTTGTCAAGGTATATCAATGTTGTAGCATGAATCAGTCCTTCATTCCTTTTTAAGATTGAATAGTATTCCGTTTGCCATGTTTTGTTTATCCTTTTGTCTATTTGTATTGTGTCTACTCCTCCCCAGGGTGCCTCCTCCTTATGGCCCCTTCTCCCCAGGGACCCGCCTCCTCAGGGGCCCTCCTCCCCAGGGTCCCTCCTCTCCAGTGCCCCGCCTCCCCTGAGTCCTACCTCCCCAGGGTCCCTCCTCCCCAGGTTTCCTCCTCCCCAGGGCCCCTCCTCCCCAGAGTCCCACCTCCCCAGGGTCCCACTTCCCCAGGGTCCCTCCTCCCCAGAGCCCCTCCTCCCCAGAGTCCCACCTCCCCAGGGCTCCTCCTCCCCAGGTTCCCTCCTCCTCAGGCCCCTCCTCCCCAGAGTGTGTTGTCAGGCAAGTTTGGGGTGCTGGTTGGTAGGTGAAAATGGTATTTCAGTGTAGTTATAATTTTTGTTTTCTTTACTAGTGAGGAGGAACATCTTTTCGTAGGTTTAACATCACAGGCATTTACTTTTCTGTGAATTGTGTATGTCCATTGCTACTTTCCCCATTGGATTGTTGATCTTTTTGTGCAGACTGTTTGTATATAGCTCCTTGTGAAATGGCTTCAAATATTTTTTCCTTGTTTGTCATTTGTCTTTGTTTATAGTGTGTTATGTCAAACAGATTTTACATAGTCTAATTTATCAAATGTTTTTTTTTTACCTGGCTTCTGGATTTTGAGTCATAGTTATTAAAACGGCCTTTCCGACTTAAAGGCAGTAAACGGATTTCACCCAGGGTTCTTCTAGTACTCGATGGTTTATTTTTCACATTGAATCGTGGAGGCATTTGGAGTTTGTCATGTCATGTAGCTATTTAAGCCTCTTGATACTTCTTGTCAGATTACTTTTCAGATGAGTTTTTTACTTCTGCTGATTATGAGTAGGAGCTCCTGTTTCTCACCTTTTTAAAAAAAGTGCTTTTATTGATTTTTAGAGAGAGGAAGAGATCGAGCACGCAACCCGGGCGTGTGCCCTGACTGCGAATCAAACAGTGACTTCTTGTTTCCTGGGTGGGCACCCACACACTGCTCCACTTCGGCTGGGCCGCTCTCACCGCTGCCAGTGTTTGCACTGTAACTTAATACTGACAGTAGCACCGCCCCGTGCTCTGCTCTGTGCTTGGTTCCCTCCTGTGTAAAATGGGAATTCCTGCTCTTGTTGTTCAAAATCAAAATAAAAAATGGTAGAATGGACAGTAAAGAACAGAAGTGTTCTATGGGAAGCTATTTTTAGTCGAGTGTCTTACACACAGTGTCATCATTATAGGCGCCCCGTCATGTGCAGCTGCTCATAGGAAAGCACTCGGTGTTGACGCTTACTTTTTGGCAGATTTTATTTCCCTACAACCTTTGCTGATGGCTGCTGCTGCTGTTTCTGTCCTCAGTTTGTAGAAGACTACGAACCTACCAAAGCTGACAGCTACAGGAAGAAAGTGGTTCTGGATGGGGAGGAAGTGCAGATCGACATCCTGGACACCGCGGGGCAGGAGGACTACGCGGCGATCCGCGACAACTACTTCCGGAGCGGAGAGGGCTTCCTGCTGGTGTTCTCCATCACAGAGCACGAGGCGTTCACAGCCACGGCCGAGTTCAGGTCCGTTTGCCCTCCTTCCCACGCCCTGGGCTGAGAAGGGGCAGTGGGAGGCTGAGCTTGTAGTTAGGAAGGATCTCTCTAAAGAATTCCCGGGCACATTATAGTCCAGTATTTGTTATCATCTCTTTGGACTTCCCTGTTTTATAATAATTTCTAAATATCAATTATCTTCAGAATCTGTTGTCCCTGTGAGGGACAAAGCCACTCTGTACATTCAAGAACCTGCCGTTTGCTTTCATATACATCCTGAGAGACAGTGCTTGATCAGAGTTAAATATCTTTTTTATAACTTTGCTAGAGAAGTAATAAGTTTGCTCTGTTTTGAGGCTTAGGAATCGTGGTCAGCAGAGCGAAGGATGTGAGTCCGAGTGACCGTTTGCTGCTACCGGAAGGACTTAGTGTAGTTGAATAGAAAGAACTGCTTTAGAAGCAGGCAGACCTGGGCTTGAGTTCCTGCCACTCACCAGTTTTTTGACCCCGGCTAGTTTACTCAGCATCGAGATGCTGTTTCTTTATCCGAATCAGTGAAATGAAATGGTGCTTCCGACCATAAATCCCTAAGGGCAGGACCTGTGGCTACCCCAGCCTTTTCTCAGTGTGGTCCTGTGTTCCTTCCCTAGTGAGCAGAACAGTCCCTGCTAGCATCCATTCGAAAACGTGGGACGAGACCATACGTTTATTTTGCTATAAGGAAGTAGTGAGCCATTAGGAGTAATTCTTAGGAATTCCAATGGGAAGGGAATCTTTTTCTTTCCCCCATTCCATCCCATTGTACACAGCTGTGCTTTTTCATCTGTCCTCCTCATAAACACCTGTCGTGATGACTCTTTCCTATAAGAACCAGATCTAGGGTCTGACAGGAAACTAAAAAAGAAAAGCAAGCACAGTAATTTTTTTCATTCTTTAGCAAGTTTGGTCAGAAATTAGGTGAAAATGAGGAAGCTAAATATTCCCCCAAGATTTGGAAGGAAGCCGGGGGCCTTTGGGGTGGCCGAGAGAGTGGGAGGTAATGAGGGATGCCTCAGAGTTGCAAGGCCTCAGGCTGAGCATCTCAGTTCTCTGAAACTAGAGTGTGAGACGTCCTACTCCTTTTTAGACTCCGACACACCTTGAGGTTTCTGAACGTGGCTGTAGCCCATGGGTTCGTGGCTGTGTTTGCAGCTACAGAATCCTGCTTGTATGTCTCCTTGCGGCAAAACAGGACAGACGCACACACTACCTCCTTTTCTTCCCTTTCCTAAGCTTTGATTTCCGATTGCTCTTTGACTCACCACAAAATGAAATGCTGGACAGTTGGAGTCATCTCCGGAGAATAGATGGTGCCACCCTTGCCACCCTTGTCCTGTCTCCCTTGGATTACCCGCCCCCCCCCCCCCCCCCCCCCCCCCGCACACACACACACTTATACTATTCATTTATTCTCAGAGAGTTAGAGCAATCTTGTCTCATCCTAGGAGAAGGGTTTTGGTTGTGATTAGAGAAGAGGGATCCTTAGAAGAAAAAGGACAGATGACTCCCTAAAAGAAAAAGGAAGGGAAGCTAGTTCTCCTGACTTGAACTCTGACAAACCTCAGGCTGTCCACGTTCCTTATGTCATTGGATTCAGGCGATGATCTGGGCTGAGTGGCCACACTCATTCCCTTTACTTTATGCCTGTTAGCAGCTGTAAAATGTAGCATTTCTGTACTTACCTTCCACATTAGAAGACCCAACATAAAATAAAATGTCAATATACTCTATTTTGAAATTTTCCCTGGATATATTCTACAAACTAGAGAAATGGGTTTTGTTACAGGAGACCAGTACTTGGTACTCCCATTTTTGAATCAATATATTTATTAATGTGCTAATTTTACTTGCCTGTGCAAGACTGAGCTAGAAACCTATAAGTTTTTATTGTTCATAGTTTATATTGATCACATAGCTTCTAAATGTAGCAGGCTCTTTGACCCCTGTTGAAATGTAGGGGATAGAATTTTCAAGCTATCTCTAACTTTTCTTCTTTTTCATTTTTCTTAAAATAACTTGATATCTGGTACTTCAGTCGACTGTATGGAAAAATTTTAAATATTTTTATTATGAAATATTATCCTATATCATATACGAATCAATGCAAATCTCCATGAAGTACATTTTTGAAGGGTCTCTGATGTATTGGAATGTAGCAGTGTCCTCGCTAGATCAGAACAGTGCAAGTGGAATATTTAGTTTTTTTAATATTTGGTTTTGATTAGTAACTTTAGACAGCTGTTTATTTTCAGTGGAAGTAAAACTTAATGTGCTATAGGTAGCAGTTCTTTTAGAGAAGATGTTTTTGTAGTACTTTTTCATGGGCCTTGGAGTATTTGCTCCCCCCCCCCCCCCCACACACACTTTGTGTGGAAAACTAATGCACATTAAATACAATTTCTGCCTAACATAGCGGTCCCCATTGTGTGGCCTGTAACTTATTGTGTCTAAATGGACCTGGGCGTGGGTGGGAAGGCAGGTGCACACACACACGCAGACGTAATGCAGCAGAAGCTGCACAGAACCAGGCTCCCTGGGCTTCTAGAGGCTCCTCCGATGCTCTTTTATGTTCTTTTTCACTAAGGGGAAAATTACTGCTGTGACCCCCTCAGTTGATTTCATGACCTAATTGACTGCTACGTTCCATATGAAAAACACTGGATTTCATAGCTTTTATTCCCACAGAGAAATCATGCCATCTTTTTTCAGGGGAATTATTACGCATTTTATGTATGAAGGTACTTCTTTTAGCTTGTTTTTATCCTAGAGGCCCCTGTGTTTTTTTCTTCTTTTTTACCTAAGCATAAATTGGGGAACCTATTGAAATGCAGAATCCTGGGCTCCCATGCAGATACTTACTTCTGTGGGGCCCGGAGTCTGAATCTGCAATGAGCACCCCCAGCCATTCTGAGAACCGGACTTTGAAGACCCTTGGCCAGTTTATGGCAGGCGAGGGGATGCATCTTTGGCACATGGCGTAAGAATGCAATTTCTTCTTCTGCCTTTGGAGAGTGTCTCATTCTGGGTGGCTTTATTGTGATGTGACGCTGTAGGGAGCAGATCCTCCGTGTTAAGGCTGAAGAAGACAAGATCCCATTGCTTGTGGTGGGAAACAAGTCGGACTTGGAGGAGCGGAGGCAGGTGCCGGTGGAGGAGGCGCGGAGCAAAGCAGAGGAGTGGGGCGTGCAGTACGTGGAGACCTCGGCTAAGACTCGGGCCAACGTGGACAAGGTGGGTGCTCTCTGTGAGTTTCTTGGAAACAGACTTGAGAAACAGCAGAATCCAGACCGTCTCATCTGTTTGGTTTTAAGGGACCATTTATGGGAACTAGGGATTTTTCCAGGTCGACGTTGTTGTAATGAGAAGCATTGGGAGGGCTTGACCGTGGGTTTAACACAGCTCAGAGTCCTGTCACTTTGTCATGAGCCTCGTTAGAGTGCTTAGCGAGGGCTCCGCCTCAGAAGGGCGGGGAGAAGATGCTGCAAGGTGGGCACCAGCGCCACAGTCCTCGGATAAGGTCATTTCCTTCCCTTACAGCGCTGAGATGCCGTGGGAACTTAGCTCTTGTTTATATTAATTAATCTACGATGACATTGGTTTCTTCAGCTTGCTTTGAGCCATGAACATAACCCCGGTGTTCAGTGAGGACTAGCTTCCCCATGCTCTCCAGCCCAGGGCCTGGTCTCCAGGCACAGCTTGGGGCGTTCCCCCGAGGAACTCGGCCTGTGGTGATTTTGCCCTCACGGAGTTACTGTTTGGATTTATCCTTTCACCTTACCATCGCAGGCAGAGCCAAGGCCTTCTGTCTTAGAACTGAGCCTCTGAGTAGTGCTTGCCCTCAGGAGTCCGCTCCCCAGGGATTTCTCTTCTCTTCCCTTCCCTCCATCAGCATACTTTCCTTCTCAAACCTCTGAAGCTGATGAGAGGATGCTCTTGATCATGATGAACAGTGACCATTTGGAAACCCACCTACCAGTGATTGCTATCGACAGGCCTTTCAAAAAATACAGAGCTACAGGGGGCAGCCTAAAGATGCGCTCCCGTGCCTCACCTCTGCCCTGCTCCGGGCTCTGCTCCGGGCTCTGCTCCGGGTTCCTGTTCCGGGTGCTCCTGCTCCGGGCTCTGCTCCGGGCTCTGCTCCGGGTTCCTGCCTTGTGAAGCCGCAGCCCAGTGCCCTTCTGCCACAGTGGGCGTGTCTGCTCTGCCTTGTGCAGCACCAGCATCCAATCCCCCACTGGCTTCCTCGGTTTCTCTTTCTTATGGAGATAGTCTCCTTGACTTCCCTCCAGAAGAGGGAGCCATTGGTGAGCCAGCTTTGCTGCGGCTTGAAACCAGCTGGAGGAAGGTGGCCAAGGTTAGAAGGCTGTGTTAGCAGGAGTTCACTTTAGGGCAGTGGTTCTCAACCTTGGCTGCACATTAGAATCACCTGGGAATCTTTTAAAAATCCTGATTTCTGGGCCTCATCCTCTTGAAATTCTATTTCTTTGTCACTAATGTTGTGGCCCCACCCCATAACAAAGAAACAGAATTTCTGGAGCATGAGACCCAGAAATCAGGATTTTAAAGATTCCCAGGTGATTCTAATGTGCAGCCAAGGTTGAGAACCACTGGTTTAGAGGCACTTAGGCAGTGCCACTTAGAGCTCTCCAGGTGTAGTCTGTCTGCACCAGAAGTAGGCTCACCTGTCGGCCACTCTTTTCTTTGTATTATTGCCCCAACTCTTATGTTGATTCCGTGCTATGCCAAATCACTTTCTTTCTATAAAATTGCTTCCTAGCTGTAGAAACCATCCAGGAGATCCAGACATCAACTCTGTTTTTAAGAAATGAGGACGATTTCTCGCACGGGGCTGTTGCCTGCAGTTTTGGATGGGGTGGGGGAGGGGAGGCTGTCGCTCAGCGGCTTGTCATCGCCCCTTCCTCCACGGGACCACTTGACCTGCCAAGCAGGAAGCAGCAGAAGCTTCTGGCTGCGGCATTGTGTTCCTCGGGAGACAATTCGCAGGAAGCGAGGTTGTTGGTAAGATCAGCCCAGGCACAGTTTTGTCATTTTTGAGTTGGACACCCTCCATTCTCCTCCCCCGCCTTTTGTTAGAACAGAAAGGGAAACCAGTAAGTCAGGAGCCCTTCACTGTCGCTGTGTGGGTGGGGTGCTTTCCTGCCGGGTGCTGAAGTCAGCCTGCTCCCGTCTGGGAGAGTCCTCTCCGTGCCTGAGCTGGTGGAAGGCTCAGGTCCCCCCTCAGAAAGCCCGAGCTCGCTTCCTGCGGCGGCGCTGGGCCTGGGAAGATAAGGCAGCTGTGGTCTGTGAACCGCCAAAGACAAGCCTGCCCGCCGCCCCCCACTTTGTCTCATTCTCTAGGAACAATCGCACATGTTTCTTTTTGGGGGCATATTTGTCTGCTTGGGTATAGTCAGTACTTTGGCACAATTGCTGGGAGCAGAGGGCAAAACCCAAACTATTGTGACAAATGATAATCTGTATCCAAACAACATACTGACATTCAAAGAATGAGTCTCGTCTGTTCTTGATAAAGTTCCTTTCAGCTGACGTTGCGAGTTTGCAAGGAACAGCGGAGGGTTGTTCCTCAGAGTTAGGGCAGGGGTATGCGTGGGGAGGGTGGCCTGCCAGCACGTCTCCTTCCCGTTCCCCAGTTCATATGCAGGAGCTTTTGTTTATGACACTCCCCCCCCCCCCCCCCACACACACACACACACACACACACACACACACAACTGTGTTCCTGGGCCTGCTGTTGAGCTCTGTGGGGACTGTCATGCGTAATGACGTTTCCACCTTCTTATGGTCCGTGTAAGGATTAAACAAGAACAGGCACTTACATCATTTCCTTTTCTGGTGGTTGGCCATGATAGCGAGTCTGATTCCTCCTGTCACTCTCAGGATCTGTGACGTCACCACCTGTAGTAGGTCTGTTCTGTGTTGTTTTATCCCTCCTCATCCTGAGAGTGCAAGGGAAGGAGGGAGGGATATGACACATTGATTGGTTGCCTCCTGCACACCCCTGGCCTGGGGCCAGGGATCAAACCTGCAACCCAGGTACACGCCCTTGACTGGGAATCGAACCTGAGACCCTTCAGTGCTTGGGCCGATGCTCTAACCACTGAGCAACAGCCAGGGCAATTAGAATATGTTTTTAATGTTAATCTTATTTACTCTAGGTGGTTTGTTTTTGATGACATATAGTTTATAAGAATGAGTATGATTTTATCCTTAGTTTAATTGCTTCCTAAAATCATTAAATGGCTTTTTCCTTCCTGTTCTTTTCACTCTTTCCTCCTCACCCCAGGTGTTCTTTGATCTAATGAGAGAAATCAGAGCAAAGAAGATGTCAGAAAACAAGGACAAGAATGGCAAGAAAAGCAGCAAGAACAAGAAGAGTTTTAAGGAGAGATGTTGCTTGCTGTGAAGAGATGTTGCCATGATGGCGGACGGAGTCCATTGCCACTGAGGACATAGGGCTGTCGTTGAGGGAAGACTGGTCTACTTGTGTGCTCCCTGCTCGCCCACCCTCTCCACGCGGACTTCTTCAATGGGGAAAATATTGGTGAGTCTGTGGCCGGCAGAAGAAACAAGCCCTGACCTTGCATGGACCGGCCACGCTGTCAGGAGGTTTTGCAGCTCCCTCCTCCCTCCCTTCCTCCCTCCTTCTCTCCCTGAAGTTTAACCAAGTATGAGTGCGAGAGGTAGGAAATAGTCCAACGTTAATTAAAATGGAAGCGGTCTGTCATAGTGTCTTATTCCCCCCAATTTCATAACATTAGCACCTTTTGTTTTGAAATAAAATTGTCTTATTTTATTAGGTTTTGGGAGAAGGGGTGGGATATGACTCCCCCAACCCTTGTCAGCTTAACAGTAGTACTCAGAAAAATCCATGAAACTCTAATGACGCTGAAAAACCCAGATTTGGGGGGATATATTTCTTGGAAATCTGAGTGGATTTGAAGTAACAAAAAAAGAAATTTGAGTTCTCCCACAGAGGTCAATACGAAGCTCATAACTCCTCTCCCGTATGAGAGATGGAAGCTGTGTCTTTGCATTTAAGTACCGGCCAGGGGTTGTCTGTGTCGGCTGATCCTTCCTGTGGCATCTGGGTTTGGCAGGAGCTTCTCTTTAATGGACTGAGTGAAGAGTCAGCAGTGGGACGCTTTCTAAATGATGCACTTTGCTCATCAGGTTTTAAAACTTCTTTGGCTAAATCCTCTTGTAATTGCCGGTCCAGTGGTTCGGCTCCTTGTCTCCATGGCAGTCAGCACATCCTGTCTTCCAGGTCGCTGCTCTGCACATGAGGAGGCCTCCCGCAGGGCACAGTCCGGGGGCTGCCAGAGCAGCACTGCCTTCAGCTCAGGAAGCCAGCCCGTGCCAGGCTCCTGCGCCCCTCCTGGCGCTGCCAAGCGATTCTGAATTTAGAATTGGAATTAGTTGGGAAGGTTAAGCCATTGCTCTTTTACCTCTGAGAACTGGCTGCTGTTCCTAATTTTTTTTCTGAGACAGCGCTATTCTTAGTTAGAAAAATTTTTTTATTGGTGAGATATTGCTAATCTTTCTTGACTCAATATTCTAAATTCAGCAATCAGAAAATTTTTCATGAGGAAAGGAGAACTGTGATAAAAGCCCAGTATTCACATTTTCCCCATCTTTCAGAAGTGACATTTCACACCCAGGTGCCCAAAGTGAATTGGGGTGGGGGAGCAGGAATCTTTCAAACTCATGGTTATATAGAATTCATGGAAATTATGGTCTGACTGGAAAACAATCTTGTATAACTTCCCAAAGAATCATGGACTTTTGAATAAAAAAAGCAGACAAATACACATTTTCAGGATTTCAGCCTTCTTATTGTACCCTTTCGTCATACATGTGAAATGCAGGTATTAAAGAAACTGAGAGTAAGTTATTCATTATTCTTGTGTGATTTTCTGCAACATCAGACAAACTTTATTTCAATTCATCCTTTGAACTAGACTGTGGGAAATAAATACAAACAGTATATTTTAGCAATCTTTCCTTTGGGAGAGATGACTACTCTTTCTTCTTAAAAATTAAAAAAGGAGAAGGTACTCACAATCTTGAAACAACCTGGTTTTTTTCAACCTAGTGCCACCTGTTGGCTATCACTTCCCATCACGAGTAGTTGGATTTTAATAAGCACAAGAAATAAAAGATGGTATGAGTTGTTTCATGCTGTGGAGTGTCACCTTTGCCCTTAGTTGCGGGTCTGGCTTGGAATAGAATTCCAGGTTCAAGATACTTCTCCCTTAGCTCTGGGAGGCTTCGCTTCGTTGCCCTCAGCATCTCTGGCTGCTGTTAAGCTGCTGTTACTCCCATTGCCGTCCGTCTGGAGTGATGGAGGACACTGTCCACAGTGTCAGACGCTCCAGGATGGTCCAGATGTGCGGTCTCTCAGGGAGGCTCTGTGCCTGCAGCTCCAGGAGGCGTGGCTGGAGTCTGTGATGAGTTCCCTCTGCTTGCTGGTCTTTCCTTCCAGAGCTCCTGTGAGCAGCTTTTGCACTTCCTAGTGTTATATCTGTGTGTGTGTTTGAGAACAAAATCTTGCTTTGTCTCTAATTGTTCCTTTTTCCTAGCAACTGGTTTTGGCCGTACGGATTTTATATCTTTACGGATTTAATCTTTACTTCTGAGGATTTTAAGTCTTTGTAAAGTTCAATTCCCAGAGTTATCTTTGCTTAATTTTTGTTTTTTCTCTTATTCTGTTCTTTATTTTTTAAGATGTAATTTCCCTCAAACATCCAGTGACCTCATTGTCCAGCCATAAACTTACAGAATAGAAAGCTCCATGGACCAAGTGAGGCTGTGAAATAGCAGGCGGGACGGGGGTGACCGGTGGGAAGCCAGCCCTGGGGCTGGGGACCCCTAGTGCCCAAACCGGGAAGGTGCACTCCGGGCCTGCTGCTAGGCAGCTCCTGTCCTCTGGACACTTTCTTTAAGACAGTGATTCCCAACCTTTCTCTGGCCATGCCCCACCTCAGCTTCTCTAAAATTCTGATCTTCCCCTCACCCCGTGGGATATAATTCTTATTATTAAAAAAGTGAACTCTTATCCACGTGGAGGAAGCCTAAAAGTCTATTAACTTGGTCTAAATAAGCTTCCAAAGAACATGGCATCCACGAAAGAGAAAAATAAAAGAATGAAAGGACAGTTGAAGTAGTGAGGAAGGAATCACTAAGAAATTGTTAAAAAATAATAGTATGAAGTGATATGAAAAAAATAGCAAAGTTTCAAAACATATAAGAGAACTGAAATGCATAAATATGTCACAATATATATTTATATACTGTATATGAGGCCCCTGGAACCATAAGAAATGCAAAAAATTCTCTGTTGATAACTCATTCTCAAATTGCCCCCTTAAAAATCAAGTTGCGCCCCTGTGGGCGTGCCCACATTGGCAACCACTGCTTTAAGAGCCCTGGTGGAGGAGGGACGGTTCCTAGACAGACCTCTGTGCACGGTCACTGTTCCGCCACGCTCCACGCCCCTGCTGCTCAGTCGGCTGATAGGGGACCCCGGTGGGCGGATCACCCCCTTACAGCCCCTTCTTTCCTTCTCATCTGCCAGTTCCCGTCGGGACCTCGGCGTTCATAAGCCTGTCGCACTCGCGGGTTGACTGGTGGCCCCCATCCGTCTCACATCGATGTTTGTCCCTCTCTCCCTCTCCCTTCCCATCTCTCTCACATTAATTAAAACATATTTTTTAAAATAAAAAAAATAAAAAAGCAAGGGTGTCCTGGGTTTTCCCCGAGGCTGGTTTGATTCCGTTAAATGTTTTTGTTTTTTATCTCTTGGGCGATGAGTTTATTACTTGCTATGAGAAGTAATGATTTCTTGCTTATCCTTTTTTGAAATGTGTTTGACTTTGGCTGCTCTAGCTTTAGTGTGGCCAAGCAATCCAAGCTGACTTGCCTGTGCTGTTAGTGATTTTAGGTTGTTTTTTGTCACGAGGTTTAGGAAAATCCGTTTGCCAATGGAGTTGGTCATCTGCCTTGCTCCCCAGCAAGGCTGTTCCTAAAAATGCATGTTGCGAATATAGACCACCTACTGCTACGTGTTAACTACTGAAGTCTCACTTCTCGCCGCCTTTTGGAGATGATGCAGTGAAAAGTTGAAAGCTAACGTGGGCTCCTGGGTCTGTGGCTCGTCTCCTCCGTGGAGAGAGCTGCCTCCAGTGACACCTCCACTCCTGTCTTTGCCCAGTGAGGTGCTCGCTCCTCATTCAGTCATTCCGTCTGTGCCACGGAGCCAGGTGCGCGGGTGCACGGACGGGACGGTGGGAAGCGTTGCCGGAGTGACCACGGCCACACTTGGGATCACAGAGGCGGAGCACGCTGGTGTCTGTGCGGCTGGGACTGAGGTGAGCTGAGCAGCCCTCCTGGCCGGGCAGAGGCTGCTGCCCTGCACAGGGGCGAGGCCCAGCTGCTGTAAGTAGCCCTTCTCCTCTGAGAGATCACCAGGCATCGGAGAGCCAGGGGTCTGAGTGGTTTCAAGTTCCAAAATCCTTAGGAAAGTTAGTGTCTATCAATTTATATTTTACAATAAGCAAATATTAAAACAAGTATTTCTCAAGGCCAGTGTAGCACCAGGAACCAAAAGGATAAATTGGTAAATGCACTTGTCTATTTTCAGTGGTTACAACTGGAAAAGCTTTCTAAAATCTGATTTACCCGTGAAAACAAATGTGTGGCATTATTATGGTAAAAGTAGGCCGTGGTGGCTTCTCTGCAGCACCTGGACGCTGGCCCGTCGCTCAGTCTGCTGGGGGCGGGGGGGGGGAGGGTGCCCTCAGGGAAGGGCTGGGCTGGCCTGGTGGGGGCCTCACAGGGTGGGTGGCTTCCTTAGGGGTGCTGAGCGCTGGCTGCACTTCCTCAAAGCCATTGGCCATCTCAGCCACCCACGCTGTGCAAACAGTGTTCTTTATTAGGGACGCATTCGTTTCGGTATCCGTATAGGTGGCTTTTCCCTACAGAGATGCTTGAATTGTGTATGTGTAGGAAAATATTACCCCCTTTCCCCTCTTTGTCTTTAATGGTTAAAACATTTTGTTTACCCAAGGCCCAGCACGTGACCAGGGCCCACTGCCGGCTCCCTGTCTGTCCTGGCTGTCTGGGCAGTCACCCCGGACTTCCTGCTGCAGAACCCTTGGGCCTTTCAGCCTTCATAGCGGCTGCGGATGTTTCCCGATGTACCTTTCGTCTGGTTCTCCTTTTACCTCTGTCTGGTCTCATTTGTTTATTGGCTTCACTTTTACCTGCTCAGTTTTAAAAAAATCAGGTTTATTGAAGGATAAAATACAAACAATAACGTACCATTCTAAGCCCAGATCTGGTAGCTTCTTCACCACAATGTCCTGTAGCTACAGAATACCACCCGACCTGGCGAGCGGCTGCCCTCGCCGCCCATCTTTCCCGCCCTCCCCGCTCTCCCTGCGTCCTCACTGCCCTCCCCGCTCTCCCTGCGTCCTCACTGCCCTCCCCGCTCTCCCTGCGTCCTCACTGCCCTCCCCGCTCTCCATGTGTCCTCACTGCCCTCCCAGCTCTCCCTGCGTCCTCACTGCCCTCCCCGCTCTCCATGCGTCCTCACTGCCCTCCCCGCTCTCCCTGTGTCCTCACTGCCCTCCCCGCTCTCCATGTGTCCTCACTGCCCTCCCCGCTCTCCCTGCGTCCTCACTGCCCTCCCCGCTCTCCCTGCGTCCTCACTGCCCTCCCCGCTCTCCATGCGTCCTCACTGCCCTCCCCGCTCTCCCTGTGTCCTCACTGCCCTCCCCGCTCTCCCTGCGTCCTCACTGCCCTCCCCGCTCTCCCTGCGTCCTCACTGCCCTCCCCGCTCTCCCTGTGTCCTCACTGCCCTCCCCGCTCTCCCTGCGTCCTCACTGCCCTCCCTGCTCTCCCTGTGTCCTCACTGCCCTCCCCGCTCTCCCTGCGTCCTCACTGCCCTCCCCGCTCTCCATGCGTCCTCACTGCCCTCCCCGCTCTCCCTGCGTCCTCACTGCCCTCCCCGCTCTCCCTGCGTCCTCACTGCCCTCCCCGCTCTCCATGCGTCCTCACTGACAGCTGGTCCCGCCGCTTGCCAGGGGCTTCCCACTTACTCCACTTCCTTGGGCTTTCTGGGGGATCCACATCAGCCCCCCAGGACCCGCTGCGCTGTGTGTGCCTCGCCCTCGCCCCCGTCCGGCTGCGGCACCTCCCCTTCGCTGTGGCCTTAGAGCCTGCCTGCTTGTTGTAAGGCCCCTAGTGTTGCTAAACTGCATTAAATAGTTCAAATGTAAAATTACGCAGCCTCGAGGAAGCACCTCAAGTGTCTCCCAGAAAGCTGCTGCCTTTTAAGGACCAGATCCAGGAGGCAGCGTGACCAGAGCTGCAGCCTCTCAGGGTGTCTGGGGCCTTCCCCAGCCCCAGCCTCCTGCCCTGGGAGCAGACGTTTGCTCCGGCTGACACCCCACTGGGCTGTGGCTGAGCTGCCTCCCCATTCTCTCTGCCCTATTCTTTCCAGCGATGTTTGCTGGCTCTGCTCCCCCGCACTCCCCAGAACCCACCAAAGGGTACCATTTCAGTTTTTACCTTGAACTCTTCTCTCGTCCTTCCCTCCAATTCTTTCTTTCCTGTCCTCACACACTTGGGGATACCCAGTCTTTGGTGGCCTGGTGGTCCCGGTGGTCTTCCCACTTGGTCTCTCCCCGTTTCCATCCACTGTGTGCACCCCCACCTTAGCAGCTGGCTTAGGGCACCCCCCAGAGTGTGCCCTGCCCGTTGTCTACAGAAGTAAGTGCAAATGATTTAGCCAGCACGCGAGGCAATTGG